CAGTCACATAGCATTTGGATTGCTTGCTTCCCCACCATTGTTTTTTAAGCATCATCTGAAGCTAATTTATCTAGGAGTAACTTGGGCTTTGGAAGGGAAAATCAAATTTGTTTTATAAGTTACCTGCAAAGGAGACTGCTGATTGTGCCTCTCATTTTCCTCTTGTTGAAAAAATGTATTTGTTACTCCATTTTTGCCATTCTTTACATAAACTTGATAAGCTCTCAGGAATGCAGTTTAAAAAGTTATGCAATGTTATTTTGCACGCCTTGCTTTCTGGAAAAAAAAGTGTCAAAGCCGTTGCCTGGCCCTGGACTGGGAGGTGAGACCCCCCCGTCGATGGGGAAAGACAGAGCAGGTGGGTCCACAGGCTGGTGCTTCCTCCATAGGCCAGCAAGGTTGCTAAAGTGTCTTGTCAGAGTGAAAGGTTGGCCAGGAAAGATGGCTGGAGAGAGCGGTGCTGCTGGCTGAGGGCTGGGACATACCAAGGTTTCAGGTGGAACCTCTGAGGTGGGGACCATGTCACCCTGCTCCGTACAGACTATGTATAGAAAGGAAAAAGCGAGCTGGCTAGTAAAGGTTGGTCATTTGATGTCTCTACTGATTCCTTACAACCATTGTCCCAGCCAGAAATAATACACCTGCAGCTGTGTTTCTGTAGGACAACGGGGACATCTAATAATATATCGGGCTGATCTAAGCTGCCTTTTCTCCAGCAATGGCCCAAGGGGAAGATATATACTCTACCTTTATATTATCGGGTAGTAATAATAAAAAACCATTGCTGTGGAAATGGCTGGTCCAGTTTGCTCCCCTTCTCATAGGAAAGCATAAATTAAAATAGAGCTTGATAGATTCTGCTTAACGCCAAAATTAAATCCTCACATATTTTGCTGGATATTACATAATAAGTTGACTTCTCATAAGAGTTCTAATTATGCCTATGGAATAAGCTCAAGATAATGAAATGCATTCTATCTCCAACAAAGCCGTCTGTCGCTTAGCACTGAGCTCCCAGTCCTCTGGGGTTCGCCTTCAAGCTCAATGAGCAAAGCTGTATTTACCGCCACAGAACTTGGAAATGAAATACAAAGTTATTTTATGATACACTTCTTTTTTATTACCTCTAAGAAAAATCAGTTAGCTCCATATACTTGCAAATGGCCATGTGTAAAGTAGCTATACTAATCCCAAGATTCTCCCACAAATGCATTACTAAGGCTTATAATACCCCCCCCCAAAAAAAAAAACCCAAAACCGGCCAGATAGGAAGAGAATAATGACAAGACCAAAGGGAATGAATTCTTTGACCCAGAATTTCATTATCTGTAATATTACTGCTTAATCAAAGAGTTGGATAGACGGTGGGGTGGGTGACTGGATGGATGGATGGGTGGATAAATGAGTGGATGGTTGGATGAAGAGGGCAGATGTGTATTTAAATGGATGGATGGATATTTAATCAGGAAGGGATATAGATGGAAGAGAACTAACTCAGAAAAATCTACGCTTGGATATATTATTCTGTATTTGATTGTCAGAGAAAAATATGAGGAGAAAGAAGGAATCGTTTTTCTAATAATTCCTCATTTGTAAAAGGGAAACTGAAAATTCTTTTGCTTCCTTAATAGACAGCTTTGACAGGTCACAGCCATGATGTAGGGGAAGTAGACTTGCAGGAAAATAGAAAAGAATGTCTCTGAGACAAACTAGGTAAGAGATAGCCTTACATTCCAATAGCATAAAATAGAAAATAAAAAACTGTTCTGTATAAATAAGTCATTGGTAACCAAACAAAGTTAGAACAAAGCTCTGCTTAAATTTCCCTGATAAGTAGATTTCACATTACTGAACGGAAGCCAAGCCAGGAAAGAGCCATTCAGCATGGAGTTCATGAAGTGTTTCAATGTCTACATTTAATAATGAAGGTGCCCGGTATGAAGAGGACATCCATTCAACCCTATTGCTGACACAGCCCTAGAGAAAGTGCAGAGATGCCCACAGGCGTTCCTCCCCTCAGTTAAGCCGTCATCAATCTCTTCCGATGTTCACAGGCACCAAAGGCGTGTTTGCTGTTTTCTGTGAAGTCGCCTCCTCTTCAAATGTGTCCCTTGAAATAACATATAGAAAGGAAGGCCTGGAAAGATGTTAAACCAGGTTTTCCTAAGAGAAAAGGTCAGTCTTGTTTTATGGCCCATGATGCAAGGTGACTGAGGGATGACCTGGTAGTGTGAGGGGAGCCTAGCCTTACATTGTCCCCAGCGCAGCTGGAAATGCTTTGTGCCATCAAACACCTTCTGTCTGGCCTAGGACCTGTGGCAACTGAATCCCTACAAGAACATGCCCATGTGGTTGGTGGCTGAATTCCAGTGGAACCTCTGTAGACAGTTCTCTGGCTCTAGGATTGGATATTCCTCCCAATCAGAAGAGCCATTTGTGAACTCCATTGACCAAACGGAGTTCGTTCCTGTTTTTAGCAGGAGCAGCTCACTCTGGCTTAAATTCCGAAAGATCAGGCCTTCTTTTGTTAGTCACTTATCTGTAGTCTGGTGGGCACAGCATAATTACTGCGGGAACGGTATTCTAAAAACTTCTGACTTGGATCCATTCATAAGATGATCACATGAAAAGGACCCTTCCTTGAACTATTTTTTCAAACATAATGTTGGAGTCCTAGAACCTAAGGATTTGAAGATACCTTAAAAGAGCGAGAGGTACGTATTGGTTTTTAAGACTAAATATGACATCTGCAGGTCAGTTTTGTTTTGTGCTAGTGAGATACATAACCAGTAACCATCTTCTAAGGCAACAGCTAGAAGGAAGCAAAATTGGTAAGGCCAAATGCCCTTTGGAGGGGACACATGTACTTGCATTGGTTAGACAAACATGTTTGCATTTTATTTCTGTTCTTTCAACACACAGCATCCCTCCTTTCACTCAGTGCCAATGTTGAACCCTGAAAATAGATGCATTGCTTGTTATCAACAGATCACTTTCTATTAAGTTGTAAGAAGAGACACAGCCTAGTTTGTTGAAAAATTGTGATAAATATTTGGACCATGTATTAAAAGAGTCAAAATAGGCATTTTAAAATTTGAGTTCTATATCAACTTGAGATGGCCAAAAAAAAAAAAAAGCAGATTTGGCATGAAAAAAGCATTTTCTTATTCAAAAATGCAAAGGGCTATTTATAACTATTTATTATGCAGTGTTTAAGGAAAACTCCTATTTTAGGAACACATATCATCAGTAGGCCTCAAGATTCCAGACCAAAAAAAGAAAATCCCCTGAGTGTGGGAGAGAATGCTTTAAATATTAATAACCAATTAGGTCTAATTAAAAAAAAAAGTAGGTCAATCAAACACAGTGCCTTGAATTCCTCCCCTTTCTCCACGCTGAGTCATTAGCATGTGGCTGAGAGACAAAGGACCCTAGCCTGCATTCTTCCTCTGCACAATAATATTTCATCACGTGTGAACAGCCTGGCAGAGCCGGGAGGCTGGGATCTGCCAGCAGGGGTGCTTTCAGGATGAATGGACCGATGCTCTGGGCATGGAGAACGGGGAAGCTAATGTGTGGGTCGGGCACTGCCATTTTCCAGGAGGCACTCTAGGCCTTTTGCTGTGTTTAATTATAGTGACAAATCTCAGTCATTGTTTACACAGGCGTATTCCTCAGGTGTACAGATGCACTGTGAGCACACTCCTGGCTTGGCTTTACGGCAAGGAGAGCTCTTTGTCTTTTAAATTAAAAACAAAATCATTCTGTTCCTTCTGGTGTCATAAAGGTAAATATTTTCACCAAACCTGCATGGATTGCTCTGGTGGTAAATCAGTTTTTCGCTTCAGTCATCTGTCAGTTGATGTAGGGGACAAGGACCATGGAAGAGGATCTGTATAATTGGTAGAGAACCAGTCTATCTGTGCATGCTGTCAACACTCCTTAGAGGCCACAATCTCACGTGGCCTGCAAGGCCCCGCTGAGGTCTGGCATCTAGGCTCACTCAGGCATCACCTCAACCCTGGGCTTTTCTGTGCTAAGGCACCGCTCTCCCTCCCTCAGGGGGCACTGGCGTATGCCACTTTATCCCCTGTGATACTCCTATTCATTACTCAAAAACACACACACCTTTCAGATTTCAACTCAGGCATGCCTTTCCTGTCCCCTGTGCCCCGGCCTAGGTTGCGTATTCTTTTGTCCAGCTTTCACATCGAACAGTATTTCTTTCCTCTGAGCATTACCTAGTCTGTTTCTTCCATCCTTATCAGTGGTATTGTCATTGTTTGGCTCCTTTACTAAGCTAGATGCTCCACACGGCAGTGTCAGGCCGTCTTCACGGACATGCCACCATGCCATTGCTCAGGGCCCCATGTTGGAAGAGCTCTGTGCTTGGCCTCATGCTCTGCTCTCTGACCATCTTGAAATCCTTAATACATTTTTGAACAATAGGCCCCACAATTTTATTTTGCACCGGGCCCCACAAATCATGTAGTCTGTCCTGGATTGGGGCCATGTCTGTTTTCATTGGATCTCCAGGACTTGGTATATGCTCAAGAGGTATTTTGTAAATTAATGTTCAGTGACAAAAGATGATCTCCTTTCATTAGTGCACGAGTATAAAATGCCTAATACCTAATATTAAGTCAGTATGTTATATATTTTCTTGGCAGCTCACTACCTAATCTTACTCTTTTCATAAAGTTTGGCACATGCACCCAAAATTGAATTAAAGAGACATGCATATTATGATCTAAGAAAAAAATTGGTTGTATAAAAAGGAAGTATAAAAATGGGCTGGTCTGTTGTTAATTTTTTGTTCTATATTTAGAACTGAAAGGGTGATGTGCGGAGAGCAAAAATGCTAATCATCTTGCAAAACGTGCTATAATAAGCTGGGGCGAACACTGCCTCAGAGAAAGCATCCTTCAAATGATAGTTGAATGAGCAGTTGGGGCTCCTCTGAAATAAATATAAAAGTTTTCCTCTGTGTTTCCATCAAGGCCGAGAAAACCCTGAAATAGCAACACGTCCAGTGTGAGCTTGCCCTCTTAGTTGGGGAAACCTTGCTCTCTCGCATGGCAAGCTTGGCCCGATATCTGCTGAGGAGCTCATGGAGAAAATACACGACTTCGCCATTTTGTACAGGGTACCCATAAGTTTTCTGTCGCTTGTCTGCATTGGACAAATTTTTTTTACCTTTCTCCCTTGCCCACCCCAAAGGTGACTGCCGCAGATTGTGGAGTTGGCAGCATTTTCTGGGCTGTGCCGGCACAAGCTGTTAATAAATTAGGTGCACAGAAGTGTGATGGCAAGGCGTTTCCTCCTGGAGTTCACAGGCCCTTCAGAACATTTATGTCTCATTATAGCCCGTACAGCAGTTTATGCCCTAATAAATCAGAGAAGCTTTGTAGAGATGGGCTGGATCACAATGAATCTTTCTGTTGGCATTTTCCCTTTACAGGCGCAAATCATGGAGCAAAACCGCCCCATCTGGCCACTCGGTAAGAGAGGACTCAGAGTGGGAGCTGATTTCTCAAGCATGACAAAGGTCACTGCAGGTAGCAGGAGTGAGGGGTGGCAGCAAAGGCTTTGAGTGACAAGGTGGAATGAAGCCATTTAGGAGCCTTTATCACTGTGATTAGAGGCATTAGCTGAACTGTCAGGGCCCTGTTCTCTCTTCCTGTGATGGGCCTCGTGTCTTCACTGATTTTTCATGTTTAATTTCCAGACCTGTTTGCTGTCTGGCAAGCAGCGCAAGTGGACACACACCCTCAGCATGGCGTGTGGACCTCTTCACTTTGATTTACGTTCCATTATCTTAATAAGGTGCACGCTCAGCTAACTGGGAATGGTTGCCAAGCAGATTGAGGGGGGATTACCTGCTCTCTCTGCCTTCCGTCACCAGTGCAAAGAGATATGTGATGAAAGCCAAGTAAATATGGAAATTATTATTAATTATGTTGTGATGGACAGAAATGCATGATTCTGGCTAGGAAATCAACTTGCCTCTAGTGGAGGTTTACCAGATGTTAAAAAGGGGGAGGAGGGGTAGAGGGGTATGAATCATATTAAAAACAGTGCCTAGAAATAACTGAGGCATTTGTTTTTGATGTTTATGCATTTTCACAAGGGACCCCATCACCCATTTCAGAAGTAAACAAATATTGATCATTTCCTTTGTACCTGGGAACTAGGTTTTCATTTTGCTGGAGAATTTACATCTGGTTAAATCGCGGAAGCCATCTTGTCTTGCGCTGCTCCTGCACCTTAGCTGGTCCAAGCTCCTGCACTTTGCAGGACTGTGGAGGAGCTTCGGGGGTACCTGGGCTGCTTGCTAGTGTTTACAGAGAGGCTTGTGGGAGCCCTTGGAGAGAGGAATATATCCGGCCGCACCTATTTCTATTCCATGAAGGCTTTCCTGGTGCTTCTTCAGTAATCACTTTGCTGCTGGGAAGGCAGAGGAGAAGCAGGGGAGTATGTGATTTATCAAAAGTGACAAGGAGAACAGAGCTCCGCCATCAGCCTCAGCTACTCTCATATTTACGTAACACCTTCCTTCCAGTGTTTTCCCCAGCAGAGGACCAGGTGAGGTTCACGGACTCTGCGGAAATGCAGCTGCGCTGGGGCAGGCACCAGGATATGTTGGCCTCTGTCCCAGCAGAATTACGCAACAGTCTGCGGAGGGAGGGAGGGGGCAGAGTCACTCCCTCGCTGAAGAAGCCCTGGAAATGCAGACTCGACGCCAAGTGCTGCTTGCAGGTTGGGAGGTTGCCAAGGCCCAGCACCCCAAGACTCAGGAAGAAAGTCAAATCCTGTAGGAGTCAGTAACTGACCACAGGTGCGTCTGCCCCGTCTGCCCTGCTGTAGTGAGACTCTTAGTGAGACTGGACCGGTCACAGAGGCACATTAATGCCTCGACCGAGATGCTTGTGCTCTGCCAAGGGAGAAAAAGAACCTACCCACCAAAGGGATTCTCCAGGTGAACTTAAAGTCCCCTCATTGTCCTGCTTTACCAAGGTCCCAGCACCAAATGAGGTACCTGCCCTGCCTGGGACTTCACTCAGGGCTGAGTGTGTACCAGGAGACTTCATCTGGTACAGGATGTTCGACACACAACTGCTGAGTTTTTTTAAGGTTTCCATTTGAAACGGGCTGAGCCCTAGCAGATAATCAGTGCCTTTGCTGTTGGAGCAAGCAGTGCTTTTATTGGTTGGAGTTTCTTAAAAAGGCGAATCGCTTTGCATTACTTGGTAAGAGGGTCTAGAGAGAGCGAGAGCTGGGGATTCTATGTGTCCCAGGGATGAGGCCAAGTTGAGAAAAAAGCCCAAGGGGCTTGGTTCAATGCCCTGCCCCAGTGCCATGATCTCACCCCCACTGAGGCCTTTTGCTTCCTCTGAGATCTTGGGCGGACCCCACCACTTGTTCATATATCACATTTCTCTTCTCTAAAATCTGCTGATGGATACTCTAGCCTCATCTTAGGGGCTCGTTTGTCAAAGAAAAATTAAAGATCAAAAGGGTTTGCTGGCAATAGTCTACTATCCCAGGTCTAACGCAGCATCACATTTATGGCTTGGTCAGGACTAAGGCTATATATATTCTGGGGGGTGCATGCTTGGCATAGCCAAGTCGCCAGCTAAGCCACTTTCAAACCGGGTGGCCTTGTTCAGGACACATAAGGCATCTGTGCCTCGGCTCTTCTGTGTGTGAATAGGAATCGCCTTGTCAACTCCCTCTTAGGGTTCTCGTGAGGATTAAAGAAGATAGTGCTTGTCAAACCCATAGCATGGTGGCTGGCACAACCTAAATACTCAATAGACGACAGCTGTGATGATGATGACGATGATGGTGATGATAACATTGTCACTTTGGGAACCCAGAGTCCGAAGACCTGGGTGCTAATTTACAGGTGGCAAATGGATTGAATTTCACATGCCAGTTTCCACTGATGGGCTGAGTATGTTAAGCAAGATTCTGAGACTGCAATGGGCTCAGTGAGAGAATCATTAAGGATATTTGCCCTTGGGGATAGAATCAAGTGTGATGACATACCATGAATTTGCTATCTCCTTAACATTTCACTGCTCCCCTAAACGGCTATGTAATCTGGGTTAAATCCACCTCTCTTAGCATCTATTACTTTTTCAGTCTATAAAATGGGAAGATTGGGCCAGATCAATTTCTTGGAGGTGTTCAGCTGAAAGTTAGAAGATGTTGGGGGTGGAAAAAATGTTCTCTGAGGAGGTTTTGGAAATGCTACATAGAATTGAACAAATTACGACAGCTTTCTTTATTGCAGGACTTCTCAGAACCTTTAGTGTGCTTGAAAATTCCAAGAGGGGACATTCTCCCCAAACGTACCTGATCACGAACACATTTGTTTTTATAACAATAGCAACTTGTGAGACTAGTGTTGCACAGAATGGACTTTGAGAAATTAGATGATCCCTAAGGGCCGTTTCTTTTTCCTCTCCAGAGTGTTGACATCTGTAAGTCTTAAAAACTCAGATAATTTAATGACTGCCTCTCCCCACCATGAACTTTTCACATCTTATCAACAAAGCACATTTAAAAGATGGTTCTTCATTGCTTGGAACAACTTTGAAAAATACCAAAGATCATCGGTAAAACACTAAGCCTTAATGTTTAGAAACCCTCCATCAGAATCTCAGTTTTAGTTGCAAGACATTCTGATGGGTTTTGCTCACTCTTTGGCTAAAATTCTTCCTTCTCAATATTGGACCTTCCGCAGGGCTGGTCTGCACTGAGGCTCTGTGGGCTAGGAGACACTCTCCTCTCTCCTGTCCGCCTTAGCCTCCGGTGGCCTCAGCAGCCTGCCTCCGCTGCCTGACAGACCAAGGGGCAACGTCTGTCTTTACACTCGCTGGGGACAGCGTCCGTGTCTTCCATGGCAGGTACAGATTAGCAAGGCAAGCAGCCTGATAGCACTAGAAATCTAAAGGTTTTTGTTGATTTCTCCTGTGTCATTAATAAATAACTTTATCTTTTGTGTTATCCCCGAGGTGGTTAAAACTATTTTTTGGTAGCAATCAAGGTATACAGTAACTTGAGTTAATCGGTCTCTTTTAGCAAGCCAGTGCTTAGAACGTGCTTCATGCTGGATCTATAGATGCTGCCCCCAACGTGCCTTTCTTCTGCTGAAGACACAGAACATTATTTCCCCCAAGGGGTTCCCACAGAGCACAGGCCCCTTCCATTCATTTATTCATGAGTGAGTGAGGAAAAGAAGAGAGAGGAACGGTGGAGGTTTGAGGAAAGAAATGAGTGCCATTGGTGTCTTAGGAAAGTTGGGCAGAGAACAGACCAGGGGGAAAGTAGACAGGTGCCCAGCAATGGGAGAGCCCACTTGGGGTTTTCAGTTATAAATTTAAAGTGGGACTGGTCGGCACAGTTGTGTATTAGCCGCCAGGGATAGGCATAGACGAGGCAGAAAGCTATATCTAATCAGGGGTGGGGGTGCAAGTCAGGTGGAAGGAGAATTAATGGAATTCAGGTGGGGTTCAAAGGGAAAGAGCCTTGGAATCTAAAGTGGGCAAGGAAGGCAATGAGGATAAGAGGCAGGTGATAGGCAGCAGAGGGACGTGAGCTGGCAGTCTGAAAATTGAATGCAAGAAAATGGAGATTTTGGAGATAACATGGTATTGACAATAATTGAGTATTGACAATGACAGTGACTTTCTGTCAGGTTAGACCATCCATGTGCTCTCTTGTGCTGCCATCTCCTGACCTCCCGATCACTCAGGAGTTAGCATTGGGCTACCTGCCTCTCTCTCTCCACCATCTTCCTGCAGTCATTCTTGGTGACATTAACATCCACACAGATAGATCATCCTATGTCCCAGTTTCCGATTTCCTTAACACCATCCCTCCCAAAGGTGATGTCCTCTACCTATTTTGACCGTCTACTCCCGTGGTTATATCCAGACTTTGGACCACTTATTCTTCCATAGAACCCCTATTGATATTCTGCAGAAGTACTGTTTTCTGGAACATGCTTCTGGAAGTAATGGGTTTGAATCCCAGTGCAACGAACAGCT